TATATATATGTGTGCCCAGACATTACCCATTACTTTCAATGTTTTCATAATTATTTGTTGTTTTTTTTAACCTTTTTAGCTATCTTGAGGACTTGGAGGAAGGAGTGTACATCCAGCAGACCATGGAGTCTGTTCTGTTGAATGATGATGGCAAACAACTCATGGTAATTATATTTTTGTCATGTATTGTTCTTGCCCTTGGTCTGTTTTTCCTGTTGAAATACTGCATTTTTTCACAAAGAATTAAAGCCCGGTTTTGTTTTTTTGCTTGTTTGTTTGTTGTTGTTTTATTTTGGGAGGGGGATGGGTTGTTTGTTTGTGGGTTTTTTGGGGGGGGGTTTTGTTTGTTTTAGGGGGGTTCCGTTTATGTAGGATATCCCTAATATTACTGCAGGAAAGGACAAAAATGTAAAAGTGTTATAATTTGTTCTTTGCCCATAGGACCTTTTAGTACCCAAGGACTTCCACACATATAAATAGCTTCTCGATCCAGTTTGTCTTCATGTGTCTGTGGACATTTCAGATTTCTGCTGTGGAATGGACAGTAGCATTGGGGATTGTATTTCCTGTATTATTTGGACCCTTTTGACAAGAAGTTTTTGACATAAATATTTGGATGATACCATTTACTATGGCAGCAATAATTTTCACCCTTCTTACTGTTAGTAGACTAAAACAGAAATCGACAGGGAACTGCTGCTTTTTCTTTCCTAATCCTTACTATTGTCATTTTCCTCTACTTCTTTTGTATGTTTGTCACTTTTGTGACCTGCTTTTTCCGGGGTGCCTTGATGGCCGAAGCAGACCTTGTGCTGTTGAAGCTAGAGAGGTGAGCAGAGTAAGTCTGATTCCCTGTAAGGACTTCTCTGTTGACACCCACCCCTTAGCGGTCATATGACCCTATGCAGATGTGAGCGCCGTAAAACCTTCTACTATAACAATAATAAAAATAGAAATCTCCCTTGGATTTGTGCTGCAGAAATATCGGTTATCACGATGTAACACCTGTTAAATTGCATTCTTTGAATGGAATGAATTTTAGACAGTGTTAATTCTTTTTCTTTTTGTTTTAAATCACAGTGCGAGTCTTTGTTTCTGTATGGGGTCATGCTTCTCATCATTGACACAAGGATTGATGGTGTTGTCAGAGAGAGGATTCTAGTCTCCTACTACAGATACAGGTCTGTGTTTGATATTCCATGATTTCGTATAATAAATTGGATTCTTTAAAATGTAAAATTGTTTATAGGTGATGAGTACTCTTCACTTCTATACTGCTGAATAGACGTGATATTAAGTACTTGTTTGTATCCTCCAAAACTCACTTATATTTTTCCTGCAGGTTTACAGGAGAAAGTTTTATTAGGCATAGCTACGGTTTGTGAAGTTGCTAAAATTCTTAAATAAAGAGGCAGGTGTAGCTTTGTGTTTAAATCTCTTTTGAATGCACATTTTATCTTGTCTGTACTGTTGGAAATGTCTCAACAATGAAGGGGTTAAATGTCAAACAGAAAATCTATTTCAAAGTATTTCCTGATTACAAGTCATTTTACTTTAATCAACAAGATAGTGCATAGACACATTGGGAGAAAAGGAAACGATTTCAGCGCCAGTTTTCATTCTCTTTAGCTGATAGCTTGAAACAGCGTTTTTAAAGAATGAAAGTATCCATTGTGTACAAGGTAAATTCTGGTTTCAGAGTCCCTCAATCAACTTTTATTTTGCTTTTCCTTGTAGGTAAGAAGGTTCTTACCCCTAAACATGTAGAAATGAAGGAAAAAGGATGTGTACCATACCATATTTAGCTTGTTTTTATTCTAAACATATTGCATTTTTCATCACTGTGTTTGTTCATATTGTAGATTATTTGTTGGGTTTTTTTTTTCATATTAATACTTTCATTTGTATTGTTATACATGTTATATTTGGATTTTTTTTTTAATTTTAAAAAATTTAGCTTGTAACATTTTGTAATGATTGCTCTTTTCATGTGTGGTTTCTCAGAACTTACACCCAGCTCGTCTACAGGTTTGGACCCCAAGACTATGCGTGGGCAAAATTTCATACTCTTGAGAGATATCAAACATACATTGTGTTATATTTTTTAAAATATAACCTATGTTTTAAAAAATTATTTCAGTGCTCAGAAGGCAGCTGCAGGTGACTCCAACATTGACGATGTCTGCAAACTTTTGCGCAGCACTGGGTTTTCAAACGCACCAGGAGCAAAAAGGCCAGCTCACTACCCAGAATCATTCTTTTCGTAAGAATTTTTTTTTTTACACCTATTTAATGTAATTGTTGATTAAGAGCATGTTTTGAAGTATATAATGTTATTGAGTTGCTGGACACAGTCTATGTTGCTTTATGCGGAATCTGGAGAATGCAAGAACAGTCATTTTATTTTGGCAAAGCTGTCGGTACTTATTTTCACAATCATTATAATTCTTTATAGAATTTATGAATGTACAATATTGGTGATTGATGTGGTTTCAGTTTTTTCAAGACACATGACGAAATGTAAAAACTTTTAAAGACACTGTTATATATTTTTTCATGTCTTTGTTCTGCCATGAGCCATAATCCAGCCAAATAAATCTTTTTTTCCCCTATTTTTTTTAAGTCGTGTGCAAGTCAATCAAGAATTTGTGGACATGGTGATCGGCCGTCTGCGATCAGACGACTTGTACAACCAGATTGCTGCATTCCCGCAGCCTGAGCATCGCAGCACAGCGTTGGCCACACAGGCTAGCATGCTGTACGTGATCCTTTATTTCCAGGCAGACATCCTCAATGCACAGCAGGCAAAGATGAGGGAAATTGTGGACAAACATTTCCCTGATAACTGGGTGAGTTAATAGAACTTATATATCAAACAACTGGTTTTAAAAAATATTTTTAAAAACAGTTGGATATTTCCCAAAACATGGTAGTAAAATTACTGCTTTTGTCTTTCTGTTTTAATGTCCTTTTAGTGAATTACATTTCCAAGTATCAATATTCTTGGTTTATCATGGTAATACCTTATACTCTGATGTTGTTTCTGCATCTTTTAATTCTAGGAATGGTGTTGTGGCTAAAAAGAAATTTAGAAATGGGTAAATGTTCAGATTTTTTCCTGTACTGAGACTGTGTCACAATGAGGAATAAAATAAATGTGAAGGGTATCTCATAGTTGTTATGTGTGACATGGTTTTTGTCTTGTCTCAATAGAGTAGGAAAATTATCGTGGAGAATTGACATTTGTTTCTTTTCTGTAATTGCGCATGAATAAGTAGACAGAGTTCTTATAAAACAAATACACCTGTGGGTAGTCAACCTCACCCTTACACTTGCTCAGTGCTACATTGTAGCTGATACACACCAGGACTATTCTTTCTGATTCTGTTGTGTCTGTTTTGAGAACTTGAAACAAATTGTTTGATGGATACTGTTGTCATGATTTTTATTTACAGGTGATCAGTGTATACATGGGTATGACTGTCAATCTGCTTGATGCCTGGGCTCCATACAAGTCTGCTGTGACTGCTCTGAATAACACTTTGTCTGTGTCAAACATCAGGGAACAGGTATGTTAGGTCCTCCTTTTGATTGTCACTCTCAAAAGTTGGCTCAGATTTTTGTGACATTTATGATGGATTGCTTGGCCTGGCTTATTTTATGTGGAGTGAATGTGAATGGTGCTAACCGATTTTCTGTCCTCGTTTTTTTTTCTTTTTTTTTTTCTTTTTTTTTTTTTTCATCTGTGTGGTGAATATTTTGTTGTCATGGTCTGTCTGTCAGCACTGAAAGAATGAGAAGAACTGATATTTTTTTAAAAACTTTATCTTAAATCCAGACCATTGGTCAGGTCAATTTGCCTTCTTTTTATTCCTTGATATCATTACTCTGTTCCACTTTGTTAATAATAAGTCAAGCAGGTAAAGTGCAAATGGTCATGAAGTCTGTCAATAGTTGAGGAGGAAGGGGTCAAATAGTGTCGCGATTATTTTAGGTTTTTGAAGTTTATGTTCAGTGTAGCTAGCAATTTAAGGTCTGCTATTTAATGAAGAAAAGAAGCACACAAAAGATGATAATGATTACAATTATTCTACTTTGTTATATGTTGCTCCTTTTATTTGATCCAGTGTTCTGTAAGAAATTTTCTTATAAGTATCCTATGCAAACTACTTAAATATAGATTCTGAATGACGTTTAGATTTAGCACCATCAATTCGTTTTAATGTTCCTGTGCGTTCAAATTAACATTTGTAGTATTTTATATATGTTTAGTTAATGTTAGGGTCAATTCTTATTCATTAATGGTTTGATGTTGTCTACATTTTTCTCCCTAGTCCGTTAAATATGCCCAAAAAGTGGAGAAGCTGCAGCCCGTGCTGAACAAGTACTTGAAAGAAGGTGTTCTGAAGGAAGAGTTTGTTCTCGACTCTATACAAAAGTTGATGAATGTTCTCCGGGAGGGAAATGTCACTCTGCGCTGGCTCATGTTGCACTCATCAACGTTACAACCAAGTAAATTTTGTGTTTGTGTGTGAATGTGTATACAGAAGTACTAGAGGTCTTGATATTCTTAAACAGGTGACTGGTTTTCATACTGTGAGGGCTCTGGGTTTTTATGCAGTTTCCGAATTATTCAGTCACCTATTTAAAAATTATGTATTTCTCTTCTTCATTATTTTCTATTCTCTGTGCATGTTAGTGTGTTTTCACTCATAAAGAATTGACAAAAAAAAGTAAAGTAAACCTGTTTTAGAATATCTGGTCCTTGGTCTTTTAAAGAATAATCTCTTGCTTGTTAAGTATCTTAGTAGGTGTGGTCCGGTCTCCTCTTTGATTCTGTACAAGTTTGTGTATTACTTTGTCATTTTCTGTATATAAAAAAACCTCTTTGCTTTCAATAACTTGCATGCATGTATGTTATTAGCATATACAGCAGGAAGCAAAGTGTTTTTCTATGCAATATATTGTTGTTTTTGTTTAATGCTTCTTTGACATTCTTTTTAAGGTTTGTTTATTTCCTTTTTACCAAGTTGTTGTCTACATATGACTGCTCTGTGGCACTTTTCAAACCTAATTTTTGACTGTTGTATTTAGACACTAACATTTCCATCCTACTAAACTTATTTGCATATGTTTTAGGCTTCAACCAGCCAGGTAATGAGTTTAAGTCATCACCTTTCACACCCCAGTGAAATTCCACCATAAAATACATCTTCCCACAATAAAAATGTTCACTTAAGGTCAAAAGCATTCTCAAGCAGTTCTTAATGTTACTATTTTACTAAGCTATGGTGTAAAAGTATTGTTTGAAAGATTGCCAGATTCAGGCAAGTTTCCAATAGAATTAATGAGAAGTAACACTTTTTCTAAACAGTCATCTCAGAAACTGTTTTCAAGATGCCCTTTGCTAGCATGCAGGTGCAGTACATAATTTAAAAATTTACTTGTATTTAGAGTTTAGAATTTTGTCCTCTTACGACATACATTCCACCTAGACAGTCATCTCTGAAAATGGTTTCAAGATGTCCTTTGCTATCATGCAGGCGCAGTAAGTGATTTAAGTATAAAATCGTTTGGAGTTTAGAATTTGTCCTCCTACAACGTGCATTTCACCAGCCCTTACTCATTTTGTTTTCTTTTATTTAGAATATTAGAAATTTTGTCCTCCCAATTCCTACCCTTTGTTCAGATTATCTTGTTTGATTGTATATAAAGTGATCATTCACTCTGATTGCAGTCGATTTTCTTTTCTTTTCGCGTTTGAGCTGTTTATGTGCGAGGAATTTGAATGTTGTTGAGTGTTTCATGTGTATGCAGTCAAGTTTTATACACAAGTTGGGTTGGGGGTTTTTTAAGTGTAAAAAGTGAATGCAGTTTGGAGAGGGGTAAGCAATGAATTCACATATAGCTGTGTGTATTTCTAAGTGACCTGTACACACATGATGTGTAGTGATTATGTAAATTAATTTTTCTTTAGAGATGAGCATGTTTGCATTTGTATTCATGTATGAAGGAATGTGCTCTTGTGTTTGAATATTGTATACCACAATATCCCAGAGCAGCCTTATGAGGCTATACACTTCATCATTCATTAAAACATATATGTGTGCATTGTTGTCTTCATGACTTTGCGAAGCAAGTAACATCGAAGTAGAAGCAAGTTTATTTTTCCCAAATATTTATTTCCCTGCCCTTTCCCTATAGAATGAAAATGTATCACAGACCTGCCAAGCAACCCCAAAATTCTTGTTTGTTTTGGGGGGAAAGAGGGGTGGATGGGTTTAGCCTTCAAAACATTTGATCAGCTTTTCAAGAGAACTCAATTTTTTTAATACTTTATTTTAGTCAGATGATGCTATTGGATTTAATTGATGTCGAATTCATGCACCTTGTTTTGACATTGTGTTTGTATATCGGTTATTTTCTGAACTATGATTCACTTCTCTCAGAGTCAGGAAATGCCCTCCCTCATCCTTAATCAACTAAACAGCACCAAGGATTTTTATTTTCTTCTTCAAACTAATGTAGCCATAGGATAGATTTCTTCATGTGAGTGACTTGAAATGTATGCTGCTTGCAGTTCTCTCAATCAGTTTGCTTGCTCTTTGTTTTATTTACAACTGTCAATTCATAAAATGATCTTTACTGGATTCTCTGACTCTTATTCTTTTTCGAACACTGCTTTTTTGGGGAGGACTCTCCGAAATCTTTTTTTTTTTGGTTATCACTGGGATGGGTTGGCAGGTCTGTTTTAGTACCATTGTTTTGAAAGATTTAATTCATCCCTCTATATCAAGTTATTCCTCATTGTCATGTTCCTACCATTTAAACATTTACCCTGTTTGTCACATACCTATTTGATTTAAGTACAAAGTAAGATGTCCAGGTTTCTTTTCTGAACGGGGACTGTGCTGTTTTTTTCACCTATGCTCAGATTTAGTGAAGCGTTGGGGGGGGGGGAGGAAAAAGGTGGGGGTGGGGGAGGGGGAGAGGGAGAGATAGAGCACAATAAGGGAAACCTCCCCAGAGTATCAAAAGGTTTAGATCTATTCTTATGCCAGATGTTTTTCTCTTCTGGGCCTCTCTGGAATGTTTTTGTTTTGTTTCATTTTTATTTTCATTTTGTGAGTGTAAACACATGGTTGTAGACAGACTCTCTTCTTGTTGAGTTTTTCCTATATAAAGGGGCTTAAAAGTTAAATTAAAGAATGAGATGCGAAGTGGAGACTTTATGCTGACCTAATTAAGAAATGCTTCTGGTACGTGTAAGTGCGCACTTAACTCCACGACAGCAGATATGAATTGAAACCCATTGATTGATTGGATGGAAATGATTTTTCCCCCATTCTTGAGATGAACAAATGAGAGAGAGAAACATAGTGAGTGAGAAAGAGAGAAAGACATAGAGAGACAGAGATATTGAAAAGTATTAAGGGCTCAGGTGTCAAATCGAAGGCCTGTGTGGGCCACATCCGGCCATGCGAACAACTAAAGCAGGTTGCGAGAGAATTTTAATTAGTCTATCCTGAGAATCACCATAACACAGAACCTTACTCCAAACATAAATAAACTTGTAGCCAAGCAAATATACCAAACATCCAGCTCCGACAAACTGGCTTAAGAGCGAAAATTTGTATGCCTTGATTTGTAATCATTTTAACTTTTTTGTCTTTTAATTCATGCCATTGTTTTGAAAAAAAGTTTAGCTTTTCGCTTCACGGTGTGTGTTCATTAAATATGGTCTGCAACCTTAAGTGCAATTTGAGTTTGGCCCCCCGAGTGATTGAGTTTGACACCTCTGCCCTGTGGGCTTGAAGTAATTTGTATGTTCTATATTTTTTTTGCCTTTTGGAAGGCCCTTTAGTTTTTACCAGCCTCTATGTGCGTTAGGATTTGAGGATATTTCATATTTAATCAAAATCATATTTTGTTTATTTGTTTCCATTTCCTTGTTCTCCCCCCACCTTCCACTCCTCACTTTTTTTCTCATTGTTTTTCCTCCCGGAACCTAAAAGTTGTCTATCTTTAACACCCATTTTATATAAAAACATCCAGTCTTTTCAAAGAAAAAAGTGGTATTTTGACATTTTAAGCTTTATTTCATTTTTTTTCATCAGTAAAATATGTCTATATACCATTTGTTTTGTTAACTTTTCCTTACTGTATTTTTCCTTGGGTACAATCTTCTCTCACTTTCATGCTTAAATGGAATTTGATAGAAATTTATTTCAAGTTATAAGATATTTAGATACAATATTTGATTGTTTTCAGTTGTTGCCATATCTGTCGTTTTGGGTTTTTTTAATGTTCATTTTAACAAATAAAGACAGCAAGTGAAAGCAGGACTATGGTAAGCTGTGTGATTGGTGTACTAATTTGACTTAAATATTCCTTTGATTATTTCCGACTCACAAACAAAGAGTAGCTGTCAGAGTCTGTCGCTGTTGAAGTTAGTCCCTTAAACTGTTTTTATGTTCAGTGTCTTAAACCATGTGACTTTTTCCTTTTTTCCAGGTGCTGAATTAAACAAAAAGATCAAACAGATCCGAGAGCAGGTTCTGACAGACAGCAAGTTCAATCCTCTGGTTGTGTTTGAGCTGCTGCTAAATATTGCACAGTTTGAGTTCAAGCTGAAGGAGGTACCTTTTCCGATTTTTGTTGTTGTTTTTCTGTTTATTTGTTTATTTATTAATTTTTTATTTTTGGGAGGGGTGGGGGGGGATTTTTGTTGTATCTTTTTTAGTGTAATTTGTTAGTGCTTTTTTTTTCTTTCTTACGTGTGTGTGTGTGTGTTTTGCGCATGCGCAAACATTTCTTTTGGGAGAACAAAATGGGGAAAGTTTTGCTATTAAGTGAATCCAGAAGCTCGTGTTTATTTGCCAAACTCATCTGTTTACTTTCAAGTCACTCAGCTCCTTGCTTCTTCTATAAATTTATCTCTAGCCTTATGGACTGTAGCGGACACATGAGTGCGTACATTTAGCAGTCAGCCCAAAAGAGCTCAGGTGTATGAGTCAAAGATGCTCAATGTGCAAGGCTCAGAGGGTTTATAATTCAAGCATCACATGTTTTTTGTGCAGATCGTTGGTATGCATCCTGGTGTATGTGGCCTTTTTTTTTTCTAAAAAAAAATTTTCAATGCTATTATGATATGTTGCATGTGAAATGTGGCCCATAAATGACAACTTTTACTTCTGAAATGTGCTGAATTGACATTAACATGGCCATTCCAATGCTAAATTGACAAAAATAACACTTTTTACTTCTGAAATGTGCTAAATTGACCTTAACATGACCATTTCAATTCTAAATTGACATAAATGACAACTTTTACCTCTAAAATGTGCTAAATTGACATAAAAAACAATCCTGCTCATCTTCACTCCTCCCTTCTTTTTCCTTTCAGATGTTCAAACAGATGCTGAGTGAGAAGGAGCTCAAATGGGAGCAGTACAAGAAGGAGGGTTCGGAGCGCATGCAAGAACTTAGCGAAGTCTACTCTGGCACTAAGCCTCTCACACGGGTGGAGAAAAATGGTGAGGACTTGTGCCTATCTCCTTCACTCTCTCACCCCCCCCCCTCTCTCTCTCTCTCTCTCTCTTTCTCTCTCTCTCTCTCTCTCTCTCTCTCTTTCTCTCTTTCTGACTCTCTGTTCTCTCTATCCAAGACTTCCCGATCTTTCACTTTCACCATACCCACTATCTTCTGTCACCCACGTAGGTAAAGAACCCCCCCCCCCTTTCCACTCCTTTTATGGCAATGAATCTATCTGTCACACACATACCCTGAAGAGATGGAACCCCTCTGATGATAGAATAACTCCCATGAACTTTTATAGAAGTATGTATGTGTATTATAGTTCCTTCGGTATGTTGTCTTTACTTTATGGCCTCCTTGCTATTAAACTTTCTGTCGAGAGATCAATTTTCACTTTTTAAAGTCTTTTTTTTTTCTTAGGTATGACTCAAAAGCAAGATGTACAATTTTTATGGATAAGTATTTGCGGTATATTTTGTTGGTAAGTCAATGGGGAAAAAAAGAAGAAAACTATGTTATTTATGCTTGGGTCTTACCCCTAAAATGATATAAATTTATATTTTGATTCTTTCTGTTCAGACAATCTACAAGCTTGGTTTGCTGAAATGAGTCGCCAGATTGGCTCTCTGGGCTACGAGGATTCTACTTCTGCAGGCAGGAAAATTGTTCAGTTGATTCAAGCTCTGGAAGAGGTAAGGATTCGCCATAGAACTGATCTGTGTGTCGTGGATTTTCTATACATTGAAAGTTGAACAGAAGTGCATGGATTTAGAAACTGGCCTAGACTTCATGGGGTAAACTCACAAAACAACATATTTTTTTCTCTGCTAGACAGAAATTCATGTGACTCCTCATCTGGCTATTGTTATAATTGTTATTCAGTGGTCTGAAAATGCCTTCCGAAAGTGGGTGGGTTACTTTTTTTGCGAGAATTTTACTTGATTTCTGTATCTGCACGTGTTGGGAAAAAAAAGATGTTAAAAGTGCAAAGATTTAAAGGTTTGTATGGTATATCTCGCTGAACTACTGTCTTTGATGTATCTATGATATTTACAGTCATTCTTCCAAGTCTTTGTGTCCCTTTCGGGGGGGGGGGCTTTGTAGAGCTTATCAGAACACTTTTTAAAAAACCTGTTAAAGATCTTCAATCACATTTACTGTGCTGTGGTTGCTCACTGCAAAATATAATACTGTCAACAAATTAAACCATGTGTCAGACGTAGCACTTTGGGATCAATGCTGCGTTTAATCCAGGACACAACCCTCATTCCCAGCTCCTCACACAGAGTAGCCAGAAGTTTGGAAATGGAGAGGTTAAGTTACAACAATCTCTTTTCTGCTTCAGGTGCAAGAGTTCCATCAACTTGAGAGCAACCTGCAGGTGCGTCAGTTCCTGGCAGATACGAGGCAGTTCCTGCACCAGATGATCCGAACCATCAACATCAAGGAGGAGGTCCTCATCACAATTGAGATTGTGGCTGACCTTTCTTATGCCTGGACTCTAATGGACAGGTATATTATTACCATACGTACAAGTCTGCTGTTTTCTTCCTCTGCTTCTTCTCCTCCTGTTCCCCTTTTTTCTCTCCCCTCTCATTCTCAGGAGTATGTTCGTACTTGCTAAGACTAGGCCCTGATCCCAGCCTATCCTGGGATCAAAGATATGACAAATCTTTGGAAAAAGCATGCAGAATCATTCTCCAACTTTACTTGCAGAAACCAGATTCAAACCAAGTACTTTGGCACAGAAGGCAAGCAGGTGCCTTACTTTTAGACTAATACACTCCCTCATGACGGCAAGCCATTGCCTTTATACTGCTTTATTCTATTTTGAGGATGTTTAGCACTTTTCAGGTACTAATGTTTTTAGGCTTAAATTTATCTTCAAAATGAGTAAGTGCATTGCTGGGTATTTTTTTTTCCACGTTTTTTTTGGGGGGGGTCTTCTCATTTTCAATGCTAATTTTTTGTTGTTTTGCTCTTTCAGCTACACAACATACATGCAGCAAGGGATCAAGAAAGATCCAACCTTAGTCATCAAACTGAGGGCAACATTTCTCAAGGTTTGTTTTGGATACTTTTGTTGCACTATTTTAGATTAATGACTTAAACGTACTCATTGTCTTTTAAGAGACAAGTCAAGTCGGCTTGTGTGAGTGAAAAAGATTAATTCTCACTATTTAAAGTCTTTTTTGTCTTAATATCAAAGTCACAGTGTTTTGTTGTTGGTTTTTTTTCACACTTTGACCTATATGGTCGTTTAATTTTGTCCCATAAAAGATGGATGTGCAATTCAAAGTACCTCCTCTTTCAGTTACCTATTAGGGTGAAGATACTTTTTAAAAATCTCCTTAATCTTTCTCTTTGTTGTTTATCCAGATGGGCTCTGCTCTGGATTTGCCTCTGATGCGAATCAACCAGGCCAACAGCCAGGACCTGATCAGCGTGTCACAGTATTACTCTGGGGAGCTTGTGGCCTATGTCAGGAAAGTCTTACAGGTAAAGTTTAATATTAGATATCCAAAAATACCCTTCAGCTAAAACATAATAATCAACTAGGACTCTCAGTTAAACACATGCTGCTACTAAAACACTCACATGGATTTTCTGCCCTGGCCATGCAGGTGTTACGGGAAATGAAAAAGCCGACAGACTGGCTGGTGAGGCCACCTCAGTTGACAACACAGTTCAACCAGATAGGGTCGAAATCCTGAAATGTCTCTCTCGCCAGCTGATTGAGGAGGAGGATAGGGAGGCAGAGGCCAGTACTGCCTTGGGGAGGATGATGCTTTTGGGAATATGAAAAGGAAGCGGAAAATCTGGCATCCTTGCTGGAAAGAACAGAGGAACGTTCAACTAGATATGCACTGGCACAATCTGTGGAAAGACCCTCAGCGACATTTTGGAGAGAGCAACAGAGCATCAATGGACATGTCCGGAGTGCAGGGATGTTGCTTCCTGAAACAATGAACAATGATGCTACTAAAACAAAAGTACAACTAAATAATATGTTGAATGATGCGTTGGTTCATGTCCCATGCAGCACCTTCAATTCCTTATCTATTGTGCTTCGGCTGTCTAGTCCTAGTTGATTATTATATCTTAGCTGGTGAGTATTTTTGCGTTAGAAAAGAAGTCAACTTTTTGTCCCACAAAACTTCAGGTTATTTGATCTATGTTTTTACAAGGGTCCAGAAATTGCATGATGAAAGAGAAAAATTAATATCAACAGTATAACGAGACATTACGAAAGGTTGCCCCTTCTAATATGATATTATTTTTTCCAAAGGGGTGTAAAAGATGTAAAGTACAGTAAAATGCTTGTCTTTTTATATTAGTTCACGCAATTTGTCTTATGACACCTAATATCTTCTTGTCATTCCTCCCACTATTGAATGACTTCAGTTGGAAGAATACTCCCCCAATTTGTATTTTTGTCTCATTCTCTTTGCTATGCACATCATCCAGTGTTAAAAATGATCAGGAACCATTTTTAAGATCACTTTTTTAAAGAAATTTTGTCAGATTTGCCCCCAATGTTCCTTGTCTAAACTTTATGAAAGCTGCCGTAACTGCTTTCTCTTGATGAAGCACGCAACTTTGATAAGTATTCTCATTTTCCTGAAAAATACATTCCAGTTCTAAAAGTTGTAAATATACTATTCAGTTTGAAGTCTGATAAAATACTTCTAGTATGATCATGTCAGTTCTGCCCACCACATCACCTGAAGTCGCATGTTGCTGGGCTGTTAACTTATATTCCATTGTTGGTAGTGCCATAGTTGAGCAGTAAGTCATTGCAATAGAAAAGTTGTGGGTGTTATTCCCAACTCAGCTGAATAAAATGTTCCATCCTGAGTGAAGGTACTTTACCCCATTTCTTTAATTCTCCTTGCTGCAGACCAACAACAACATGTTTTGTTATATTCTCCGTTGGTATTATATTTTTTAATGGTGACATTTATGTTGTTGTTATCGATCCAGTGACATTTATGTAAACTGAATTATTTTGTGTATGGCCTGTAGGTTTCATTGTAACCCAAGTTTTCCTCTTTATGATTTATGGAAATGGTATTTTTATTCCTTTTTTTTCTTTCGTTCTCAGATCATCCCCCAAACCATGTTCAGCTTGCTGGCCAAGATCATCCACCTCCAGACCACTTCTATCAAGGAAGTTCCCACTCGCTTGGAGAAAGACAAGATGAAGGAATACGCACAGCTGGATGAGAGATATGAAGTGAGACACGGCCTGTTCTCCTTATTGAGTTGTAAACTGGGACTGGGGGAAGAAAAGAAAGCAAAGAAATGTGTTGTGTCTTGTTTTGTTTTGTATGATATTACTTACTTATATTATACGGGAAAGAAGAGTGTTGAAATGTACTGAGCTTTGAACTTTTCGCACTTCACCACAGTATTTATGAGTGAGATGAGTCAGTGCTGAATCACCAGCATGCTTTTTGTGTTTTCTATGCGTGTCATAATTGAGATGAATTTAGTATATGTATCATTTGCTAATAATAATGTTAATGGCAGCAAAAATACATCTGTTTCGTTCCATGACCTCCCTGAAGGGTGTAAATGAAAATTGAAGTGCTTATTACTGCAATTTCTGCATTTCCTTTGTCCCTTGGACAGCCAAAATTTGCCAGAACACATGCACACAAAACACAGACATACAGACACACACACACACTCACACACACACACACACACACACACACACACACACACACACACACACACACACACACACCACACACACACACACACACACACTCACACACAAAATGATTTGCATAACTCATTATATCGTAACTTTTTATAAATGTAATGTGTTGCGATGTATGTTTTGGGGTTTCTGCTTTTCCTTTAAAGACAAGATAATCATGTTTCTCTCAGGTTGCCCGACTTACACATGCCATTTCTGTGTTCACTGAGGGAATCCTCATGATGAAGACCACACTTGTGGGAATAATCAAGGTAAATTCATTCTTTTTCTGAGTACTGTTAGACATTAATTATAAGTGGCAGCTAATATGCCCCCAAAAAACCCTTACATTGCTGGGCAAGCAAATAGCACAAAAACAACAAACAAAAGGAATTAATATTTATATTGATCCTGATTGAGAGATTTATTTTACAATGCTGTGAATAAAGCAGAAAAAAATTGTACTTGCTTTGAATAGCGGAGAATGCCTTGCTTGTCATGGTAGAGCAACACCCTGTTTTTCAGCTAGTGCATTAATGTGTTTTCAGATGTATAGCACATATGAAACCTGCCACACTAAGATTGTTTGACATTGTTCACAGACTTGTGTCTGTCTTTTACCTACTCAATCAACGGGACCCTCAAGATGCTGATCTAGGTAAAAGTTTGGTGTGGGCTTAACTCCTCTCCCATCTGTATACTTCCCAGGAAGTTGAGATTGTTTCAAAATGCTATCCAGGTCTGCCCGGGTAGTAATATACATTGCTGCATAGAGCTTGCTGTTAAGCAGAAATTTGCGCTATACAAATGCTATCTGTTTTTATTATTATTATCTCTGTCAGATTATTAGATGGAGTAGGGAGGGGGGGGAGGGGGAGAGTTCATAATATAATATTCATCCCCAATAGGACTCAGCCAAGTAGATGGAGAGCCTTGAAAACTCCCTTGCCTTAAGACCAAGTTTATAAAATGCTTCATTGAGGATTTGACCCAGTGTCATCTGTACCTTTGTGGTACATACCTTGGACCCTTCTTCAATCTTAAAATCGGTATTTGGGTGCTCTCATGGTATAGAGGTAAGGTGTTTTCTTCACATTTAAAAGGTCGCGGGTTCGATACCTGACTGCAATGGAAAAATTTTTTCTCTAAAAATTTTCTCCTTTCACCTCCTTTCATGCTCTTGAACCTTGTTGTGCCGTCTGCTTTCGTCACCACTTTTTACCCCCCCCCCCTTTTGCCCCCTCCTCTGGGCTCTTGGCTCTTTCTGTTGCCTTTGTACTGCTACTCCTTGGCTCCTTCTTACTGCTGTTTTACCGCCACACCCCTGACCCAAGGGTAGGTAAGATCTAAAACATAGTCTTCTTCTCCGATAAGGGTGAAAAAATCTTTGTGGTCACGTGTGCAAATTGCGCACGTTAAAGATCCCTTGGCAGTCCTAAAATCGATAAGAGTAGGCTTCAGCTGCCACCCGAGCAAAATTCTAAAATAATTCCCACTAAACTGAAAATGCTTAAAATATAATATGATGCAGCTATGAGCACTGTAAAACACTTACAAAAAGAAAAAAAAGAAAAACGAAAGAAAGAGAGAAAGAAATGTATATTTTCAACTGTCTGCGTGTCCTACCCAGATTGACCCCAAACAGCTGCTGGAGGACGGTATCAGGAAAGAGCTGGTCATGCAGGTCTCCCAGGCCTTACACACAGGGCTTATCTTCAACCCCAAGGCTAAGGTATGTGGTGAAAGTGTTCTTTGACAAAGGCATACATATTTACACAGAACATTTGTTATGAAAACAAGTATTCTTTTGAAAGAAGATATTATTTCTTGAAGTTCATGTCTATAATTTGAAGTTATCAATTTTGAGCTTTCTATTTTTAATCAGGCATAACTATTTAAGTTCTTTTTTCTCAGTGAACATACAGCGTGGCAGCTTGTTAGGTTCTCAAGTGCAATCTTTATTGCTTTCAATTGTCTAGGACCCATTTACAACTCTATGAACTAAAGGGAAAATTGTATATTACTCTTCTAGCTTTACAATATCCTACCTGATGAAACCCTAATGTGATCATTGCAAGTCTGAAATCTTAACCGTATTACTGGGTGGTTGGCATAGTGTTCTGTTACACTGATGCATTATTACTTGAAGAATAAAGATTCATGTTGTTGAAGTAAAAAGAACATGTCTCCTTTCTTTACTAGTTTTCAAGATGTTTTTCAAGCATTTATGATAATTTCTTGCTTCCATAACAGGTCAATGAATTGCTGCCAAAACTGACCGTTCTCGGAGACCAAATGGATGGTTTCCGGAGGTCGTTTGAGTACATTCAGGATTACGTGAACATCTACGGCCTCAAGATCTGGCAGGAGGAAGTGTCGCGTATCATCAACTACAATGTTGAACAAGAGTGCAACAGCTTTCTCAGAACAAAGGTTGACTCATTGGTCCTTTGCCAGAATTGTTCTCATTATAACAAAAGTTTTACAAAGATTATAAAGTTTGAGTTCTCCCACAGAATTACAATGACGTAGAAAAATGCTTAAGTGTGTGAAACAAACTAACAAAGTGTTGGATTAGGTGTGTCACTCATCTGGAAATATTTGCAATTGCAAAAACATGAAATATTACAGCTTGTTTAATTTTTTAGAATACACAGAACTTGGTCCTTGACTGATGAAAAATAGCATAGGAATAAAGAGAAATATCTTTTGGGCTATATTTATATTTAAAGCTTTAACGTCTGCATGACAGGTCAATGTTGTGACCATCAGCTTCCCAGAAGTCTTTTAACCCCTTTATTGCAAGTTCAAATCTACATTCTGGCTTCAAGTTTAATGGCAGTGGATATATATATGTTCAAGTAAGTCATGCTTGAATGCAAGATAATTTACGTTTGAGTGAGAACATATGACGAAAGGAAACCAAGGCAAAGATGCTGAGCCAAGGACAAGTGGTGATGTTCTATTAGGTAATATTTCTGTAAATTCTGAAAATGTTACAATTTCTGAGTGGCAGCATAAACAAGAAGGTAAAGTCCTCAAATTGAAAAAATACTTCTGGAAAGATAGTCATGCATGTCCTTTGTAGTATGTACTGAACTGACATTGAGATTTGGATTTATTTGTTAAAAAAACTTCTTTCCTGCTTAGATCCAAGACTGGCAGAGTGTGTATCAGTCCACTGCCATTCCAATCCCTCGGTTTGTTCCCGTAGATGAAAGCGTCAACTTTGTTGGAAGACTGGCGCGAGAAATTCTGCGGATCACAGATCCAAAGTAAGTGTTCTTGCTCATAATTTTGTTTAAAATGTATTGTTCTCTCAGAGGGATAAATATAAGACTTCAAGCTAAAATATGGTCGGCCCAAGATCAAGTTCTGTTCCAAGCGCTTGTTGTGTATTTAGGTTTTCATGATGTTACAACTCATTCTCTATCAGTGGTGGATATTACTAAGAGATCCAGTGTCTAAATCGATATAAACTGAAAAGGATTTTCAACGGATACTCAGAGCAAGTGAAGTATAGATCTTTAGATGTCTTTAACATGCTTCCACCTCCTCCCCCTCCTCCTTCAAATGTCCCAACTATCTGGTTGTCTTGGCCATGAACAAACTGCTTTGCTCACTTCCTATCATTGCACTCTTTAGCAGCAAAAGTAGCATAGACTTCTGTCTCCATATAGTCATGGGTTGGAATCATGGTCCGGACCTCACAATGTGTCCTTGAGAAGGACATTGACACAAATTTTTCTCCCTTCACCCTAGTGGGATTGTGTACCTTGCCATGACATTCAAAGGTCTTGTTTGTGTGTTTGCATTTGAATGGCTGTTAAGTGGCAGCTAGCACCGGTGCTTCCCAAGAAGTTGAGAATGTTTCAGGATGTTACTGCGTCTCTGAGTGTACTGATAAAGTCTAAAGCACTTACAGCCTTTTTGTAAGTTGGGATATCCACTATGTAAAGGTTATCTTTTATTTATTGTTGTGTACTATAATCCTCACTCATTTCTCTGAGCATGTATTCCTTTTCTTCCACAGCTTGTCTTCTTCTATTTGCCCTATAATGCCATGGTCTAAAACTTATATTGTATTCTCATTGTTTACTTTCAGAACAACCTCATACGTGGATCAGATGAAAGCTTGGTATGACCTGAAAACAAAGCAAGAAATCACCAACAGAACATTGTTCGCCAAAATCCACGTAAGATTATCCTAAGTGGTTTTCATATAAGTTTTGCCCTTTTTGACCCACTTTGTGGTTCATTGTTTTTACTAAGAAGATATCATTTTCATGTTTCTTGTTTTGTCTGATTAGTGTCTGATTTTTTAAATTATTATGAAATTATTTTTTTAAATTTTTTAATATTTTTTGGGGGGTAAAGAAGTGACTATTGTACGATTGGTGGGGGTTTTTTTGGTCCTAGTTAACAGTCCAAGATTACTCTAATAGGATGGAATTAACCACATCCAAAGGTTTGATTTATAGAACTTTTTGAAAAAAATGTTTTTAAACAGTTAATGTAGGTACCAGAAACTAAATTTTCAAAGTAGCTGTATGCCAAATTTATCTGTTCCATTTGATAGGCCTATATCCACTGAACATTTTGGTACCGTTCTTTAACCTCTCAGTCAATTTTTTAGAAAATGGTAGTTGTTTAAAATTTGATCAAATTTGTTAAAGTCAGTCACTGGCTGCAACCCCATGTTTGACAGATAATAAAAGAGTACCAAGTGCACTTAACATCTCCAATTAACAGAGTACAATCACTATAACAAATGTATGGAGCCTAATATTTTTCAAGACTGTGAGATCATTACAAATCAGTATTTTTTCGCCTCAAACACGATGATCTGTTGTTATTTCGACAAAAACCCCGAGCGTTGACCTGCCGGGGCCGTACCAGCCCCCGCGGCGAGTGAGTCGGCTTAGTGTACCCCGCGTGCGGGGTCACATGCTTTCCCAGTCTCGCGGAAGGATTGATGAAAAATAATTCCACGCTTATTACTATATTCTAATAGGAAATGAACTAATCTTTTAATTAATGCCTTTTTTAAGCCAGTGTCTTACATGTTTCGTGTAAAATATGATCTTTTAAAATTTTGACAGTATTTTTAAAGGCTTTCTATTTAAACACCAAAGACCAAATATATACCACGGGAAAGCCCGTTTAAAGCTCTACAGTTCTGCGCCAATGAAAAGGCGGTATTTAATCATCCCTCGTTCCGCGAAGCATTTGAATGCATGCGTGTCAATTTTTTAACCGGCCGACCACGCATTCCGACTGCGAGGGGCTTCGCTTTCCTTAGCAATTCTCCAGCTCCTAATAATCGGACATATAAACAACTTACACCATTGTAACGAGGAAAAGCTGAACTTTTACAAGGTGTACGGCATTTGGTGTTTTATAGCGAAAGAGCAAAGAAACAGCGATCGGAATTACCCCGATTTCACCGATACCATGCGGTCGGCGAGGCCGTGTTTACCTTTGAGGAACTATAATAGGAGAGGCCGCGAGTCGCGTAACGTGAAGCCGCTGCAGACGACGGTCGGCCATGTTTGTGAGATCAGCTCAGTTCTCTCAGTTGTAAACTTAGTGTCAACCGAATGGCAGTTTGCGTAGCGTTCGGGTCCGGTGGGCCTCTCATTCAAAGGTCCTGGGTTCAAATAGGAGTAGTGACGGAAAAATTTTGTTCTCTAAAATTCTACTTTCTCTTTCGTCTGCTTTCACCTCCACTTTCTGCCCCTACCTCCTTGCCCTCTCCTTCCTCATATTCTTCGCCCATCCCATCCCACCCTCACTACCATCTTTTGTGTAATCATTTTCAATTTTGTTAGAAATATATTCTGTTGTAAGTTTAAGTCAAGAAGACTACGTTTTTTGTAAAAAATAATGTCAGTGATGACATCATTTTGCACTGATGAAGTTCTATGACCGAAAAGTCTGCAAATTTTGTTATCCCGTTTATATTTTTGTTTTGATCCTTATTATTCCAATTTCTTCTCTAAAACAAGTTTTAAAAAATTATCTTACCGTCACAATGTGTATACATAGTACATGTATTACCAAATGTTCGACTGAGTGAGCTGGTAATTTGATGCAAGTAAGATTTCTTGCTGTCCTTATATTGTTACTATCAAGAAGTCTTCGTTTTTTGTAAAAATAATGAAGTTCGACTACCAAAAACTCAGCAAATGTTATCATCCCGTTTATAATTTTGTTTTGATCCTTATTATCCCAATTTTGTCTCTAAAACATGTAAAACAGAATATCTTACCATCACAATGTGTATACATAGTACACGTATTACTGTAAATATTCGACTAAATGAGCTGGAAATTTGATGCAAGTAAGATTTGTTAACATCCTTATTACATTACAACTGTACGTGAGTGCTTATAATGCTGTAATTAACATTGACAAAGAAATTTTGAGAGAAAATGGAGTCCGAGCAGCTTGTTTTGAAAGGAGATTACGCTGCGTACGCTGCATTGTTTTGAACTTACAAAGATGGCGGCAGGCCCGATAAGCTCCGCCCTTTCGGCTTCAACTTGGTTGGAACTGTTGAGCGGGCGACGCAACGTTAGGGCCTCTCCCTATATAGTTACTCCAAGGTGTTTACGCTACCTATGTTTACTCTCCGAACTTTTTCCTTTTCAGAGGGCAGTAGGCAGTTTTGGTCTTGCAGGCTTGGACCGCCTGTTCTGCTTCATGATTGTCAAAGAGCTGCAAACATTCCAATTGAGTCTTCAAAGATCAGTCTTAAAAGACAAGAACCTCATGGATAACTTCTCTCAGTTGATAAAAACAATGAATCCACTGCAGGGACTTCTTGGTAAGTGACATCATAATTTTCTTAAATATTGTGAATGTGTTTTGAAGTTAGATTTAGTCTGAACTATTTTCTCTTCCTCTTAAGTGTGTATCTGATCAAATCATTGTGAAATGGATTTTTTTAAACAGTAATTCAATATCTCTTTATCGTTTTCATCTGAACGATTCATTTTTGTAATGTAGTTCTTTCTGGCTTTGTCTTCTCTCCTGGCAATTTTATGTACATCTCTTTGGGCAATATTGAGTGTACTCCCAATTTGTTTTTTGTTGTCGGGTTGTTGTTTTTTTGCTACAGGGCTTGTTGAGAATTTGAACCAAGGCCACTAGTAGCCCAATGTGCTACAAACTAAGCTTTGACTAAAGCCTACTTTCTTGCTGGAAAATGGTCATTTTAGAGAGAGAGAGAGAGAGAGAGAGAGAGAGAGAGAGAGAGAGAGAGAGAGAAAAACAATTCATCACACATTTAAGAGAGGGAAATCTTTCTTGTACTCTCCACAGGCCAGCCTCAGAAGTTCTACCCGCACGCAATGTCCAAGACTGGGAAGATTCTACCTCACTTCATGGACATTATCACCAGGGTAAACTGTCTGTCTGTCTGTCTGTCTGTCTGTCTGTCTGTCTGTCTGTCTGTCTGTCTGTCTGTCTGTCTGTCTGTCTGTCTCTTTCTCTCTCTCTCTCCCTCCCCCGCTCTCTCTGGCTTTCTGTCTCTTTTCCTCTCTCCCTCTCTCTCTCGTCTTTCTTCTGTCTCTGTCCCTCCCTCCCTACTTCAAATGTACTAAGGTTCATGTGAATACGTGTTGCCTATGTGTTGCTCAATATCAATTTTACTCTCATCGTAAAGTTGTTTAGTTTGAAATTGTCTTGTGAGAGGTTTTATCACAAACCCTCTAACTTGATCTGATTGAATTTATATTAGGGAACCCTTTATATTATACCTTCCGTATTCTATTTGAATTTTTGATCAGTTCAAATTGAGTCTGTCATCAAGTCAGTCTTTTATGGGTATTGTAATAGTAGTAAATTTGTTGGGGGGGGGGGGTTATTATCTCCGATGGCTGTTCAGATATTGGTCTATTTTTCGCAATTGTGAGTCACATTAAAGTACAATTTAGACATTGATGTGAGTTTATGTTTGCTTTGTTTGCAGGTTGGACAGATGCAGTTGCTGAGGCGACAGATTGCGTATGAGCTGAACACCTCTTGCAAGTTTGACTCAAAGTTCCTTTCCAGCTCTTTGCAGACAATGAACAAGTAAGACAGCATGCATCCCATTTTTATTATGCAGACTTTTTCTTTAACATTTTTAACACAATTTTATTTTTCTGTGTACATATGTGTCATTAAATGCTGATATTGTATCACAGAGAAGAAAAAAAGACTGAGGTCTTTTCAAAGGTTTCAGGGTTTTAATTACATATCCGTAGCCTCTGAAATTTACCTTTGGGCAAAAGAACAGCATGAATTTCTCAATGTGGAACATAACTTTTGATAGTCAAGTATGGGTTTGACCAAATTTCCCTGGGTATATTATTACAGCACATTTTTAGAGAGACTCAGGCTAAAATGACTGGTGTCTATGTTGTAGGGACTTGGTGCTTTACCATTATGTGCAGTAGATGTGGGTTCGATTCCCATGGGGAGAGGTTTTTCACAGAGTATCCTCGTCTGTGGTCTTTCTGTGAGACAAATAAAGTTCCTCATCGTAGTAATTTCTTGCTGGAGAACGCGAAGAAGAACAAAGAAGAAGCTTGTTGTAATTTATAAATTTGAAGAAACACGCCCCCCTTCTCACTTGCGGCCTGCCTCTCTCACAGTTCCCTCCTGGCCGACATTGAGCAGCACTACCAGGACCCAACCAAACCATACCCCAAGGAGGAGAACCCGCTCATGTACGAGCTCACCAGCTACCTGGAGGCAGCAGGATTCCACAACCCACTGCGGAAAGTCTGTGTTTTCCCCATATCGTTGTGCTCTTAAGATAAATGCCAAAATCATTTTTAGCCGTTTCTTCCGAACAATTGACTCTATGAAATGTTTGAATTTTGATACATTCAACCGATTTTATATTTTTTATATTTGGATTATTCCTTTGTCCAAGTGAACTATGTTACTAAGATGGCTCTGCTCTTCATTTGAGAACGAAAAATTGTAAACTAGCCAAAAATGACTTCAGCAATTATCTTATGAGCGTGGCGATAGATTTTGCTCAAGTAACTGAAAAAAATAGTCAGTAAGAGCTTTTCGTTTATTTCTATCCTGGGGTATAGCCTTCACTTCCGTACTTCTGTATCCCGTTTCTTGAAGTCCGAATTTGTGCGGGTGATTAGAGGGCACCCGGGGTAGGTCCCACTTCCTTACTTTACCTCTGTTGTTTCTGTCTATCTTACTTTTTCCCAGCACTAAATTACCATGATTATTGTGTCAATGTGCTTCTCTTTACTCAAACTAACAAATAAAACGGAAGCTATATCCCTCCTCCAAGTACCTTTAAGCCCACCTCTCTTTGTGTTTCTTTATCTCTTTGTGGAGTCCATATTTAGGCTTGGTGCATAGTGTTTGTTTTCTGTTTTCTCATAAGAACTGACCTTTGCCTGGAGTTCCAGATAATTATCTCAAAATTTTGAAACCCACACACATTACCCCTGTCATCATTAGCTTACGTTGCTGGTCATGAAATCAGTGACTTTTGTGGTTTCAGATGTGTTTTTAAATAATTCTTTACAATATTTTCAGATTTACATCACTACACCAAGGTTGCCTCACTTTTCCCTGTTCACATTCCTCATGACCTTGTGGCATCTGAACAAGCTGTGCTACAACAGATCCATTGGTAAGTGCTTGTCAGTATATGTGAGGTGTGCTGACAAAATGAGTTAGTACTCAAATTTTAGCCCAACGGACATTGATAGATATGAAATTTATAGGTTTGGTTTGTACAATTTATTATATAAAATTAAAAAAGACATGTTTAACTTGATGAAAGTGGCCTCAGTTTCAAGTCTACAAACTAGATGAGTCTATTTTTTACCTACTTTTCCATTCGTGGATTTGTAATCATTATGATATTTTTAAAATGCAAGGGGGATATGGATAGGGAAGTTGTTGTCTGTACAAGTGACTTTCTTGAACAGGTGGCTGTAATAGCAAATTCGACTGTCTTTTATTATCCTGTATTTCTTGTGATGGAGTGCTTAGTCAATTTCAGAATAATTCACTCTGATTAGGGAGGTACTACTGTTCCCCCCCCCCCCCCAAATTAAACATCATGAAACTATTGAATAGAAATGTGCCATTTTTCATTATATTGCGGTCATAAGCATTCAATCAACAAAAAACTATTTATATGTTTCCATATTTATTCAGATTCTCTGATCTGCAAGAAGCCTGCAGACCCTCTTGACGCACCTCCTTGTGTTGTTGGAGTGTACACGCTACTGAAACAGTCACACAGCGACAACACTAACATCTTCCTGGCCTTTCTGGGTCAATATGTGCGCTCCATGGTCGAGGCGATGGGCAGGTGAGGCAATGGTGCTTTTGTCACCAAAGAGAAGCTTGTGATCCTTTTCTTTTATTTCTCTCTTTTTTTTCTGGTAAATTTGTGGGCTGTCTTTGCTTGCTTCTTTTGCTTTTTTTTCTATATTGTGTTTGTTGTGAAAGGTAATCTTTATAACACAGACTAAGAGTATACTCAGGAACAACTCTGCTTTTACATACAAGGGTACATACACACATATTTTCTTTCTCTTCCTTTCCGTAAACCTCTTCTTTACTCACTACCTCCCCCCCCAAAAAAAACACTCCCACTTTTTTTTCTTCTGTGAGAGAGAAAAAAATACAGATCCCCAGACAATTGAATCCTCTCAAACTATAAAGCTTGTGTCAGTCTTCACAGGGACGCTGATAATTATCATGCAAATGACTTTATTGTAGTTGATGAAAAAGAAGTTGATGAAAAATGCTCCTGCTTGTTTCTTTTTTCATCGGCCCAAAAAGCATACCTAGCAAAAACATGCAATCTGTCATAGCACAATTTTGAAAATTCAAATTCAAATTGCTTTCAGATGAATGATTAATAATTTGTTTTTATCAAAATCTAAAATACTTGAAGGTTTCTTATCATTAATGTATATATTTGAATTTGGAATGATTTCCACCTATTCTCCACTTGACAAGTAAGTCAATATAAGGATTATCGTTAAGATTAAAAACATATTATGTATTTGAATGTTTCTGTTTTTCACAGCGCAAAGGACCCTACCATGTCCCAAGATGTCCTGAATGTTCTCATGTTTTTGGAAGATTTCATTTTTTACAGTGGACTTCAAAGAAAGGTAGATTTTTGTACTTTTGTGTTGGGATTATAATGTTTCAGAGGTGGAAACTCCAGTTCAATGTTTTTGTCTGATAAGACTAAATTGAGTCAGTTGGGAACCGAAAAATCCTCCTTAGATAGCTAAAGTTAAAAAATACCTTGGTGTTAGAGATCCAAACCAGTGTGGCCAACACCACCGTCCAGCATGGTACAAGCTAAGATGATGATGATGAGCCTGTATCAGCATAAAAGATTTTCTTTTAACAGATAAAATATTAATGTTATGTTTTCATTTATGGATGCCTCAGTTTGCAGCATCTAGTTACTTATTGTCATTTCAGAGATTTTCTGCCAGGTAGTTTCAATGGAAATGAAATTTATCTAGTTTTATTGAAATTTGTCACAAGACTGTTGTCTTAGAAAAATGGAATTGGTACTTTTAAAAATGTAGAAGCCATCAGCTTACATGACAAAAACATAGTCTGCAAAAAGAAATTTTGTTCTTAAAATCTCATGACGCTTGACTGAACATTAAAAAAAAAAAAAAAAACAACCTTAGTTGCTAGGTTTTGTTGTCGAGACATTTGTGTCATAAAACGAATGTTACTGTATGTCTTCTATGATAGTTGATGAAATAAAAGCATTCTCTGTATGACACAATTTTATTTTTATGTTGTCAACTGCTACTAGAATAAAATTGACTATAATCGATATTACCATTGTTCCCTTTTTTTTTTCAATGTTTGCAGGTTGTAGAGTCATTTGTGCCGACCTACATCTTTGACGAGTTCAGAGGCCAATTTGCCCAAGCATAGGTCTCCGGTGCTACCAACAATTACAGAGACCGGCCAATCTGTCACATTATCATCAAGACTTCGTAAATGAATGCATTTATGCAGAATCTGGGAAGAAAACAAAATCTATCACAGACTTTTGAATTCAATTGGATAGATATCTAATACTCCTGAATATTTAAAAAGTTTGTATTGAGCAAAAAGGTCACAAGAAACTTAATGTTTTGAGATTCTCTGTTAAAACTATGTTTGATAAAGATGAATAAGATAATCATTCAAGCTTAGCATTTTTATGCAGTGTGGGTGTTGATTTAACCTGTAAGTCAGAAAGTCATGTTTTTATTTGCAGGAGAAAAAAACACAAATGTAAGGTCCAATATAAGTAAGGACAGGACACATGGCAAAGAGATAACTGCTATATTGCCCACCATAACGGAAACTGTCAGTTTTCTTTCAAAACGTGAAAGAAACACTGAGAGTTTTTTTGGTCTTATTTTTGTTTCTTATTTTTTTCTTTAATTTTAGCCATCACATGACGTTTCTTGTGCTGTGACTTTTTGTTGTTATTGAAGCCATTCAGCAAGTATAGACATGTGCCCCTGCAATTATTTTCAGAGGCTTGAATTTTTCTTTTGAAATTAATGTGATATGAATTACAGGTTCAGTTTTGTTTTTCTATCCTGATATTGTTTTCATTATCCTGATATTGTTTTTGTTATACAGACATCATTTTTGCAAAGATGTATTTTTGATTCTGTTCAGCGTCAGAGGCCATAGTGAACTCCTTTCAAATTTTTCTGCTCTGTGATACCTCAGCTGGCTCTTTGGAATGATAAAATGGTGAATAATTAGAACATATGTAATCGTCTTTTGCAGTTGTTGATCCTTGTATGTCTATCTCTTTTCCCTGTGATTTGTGTGTGGTTTTTTTGTCTTGTTTGATAGCATGTGACAAAGAGTTTGAGTTTTATGGAAAAAAATACTGCTAAGTTAACAGAAAAGCAACACACTTTAGTTCAATAAAGATCAATCAACTAGCATAGCAAACTTTTCAACATGATATCATTCCAACTTTGTTGTTGAATAGTTTTCGTCATTCTCATCAGTATGTTTTTCAGTTAGATCGACATAGACATACCATGTATTCTGCTGAAATAATGCTCATATAAAATTCCTATTGTTAACTGGTAGATTTTTCTTCTTGGAGATATCAACAATGTTTTGTTCAATGACGAGTAAAGTGAAACCTGTGTGTTGGTCAATTATGGGTCAGAACAATCATAAAACCTGCAATAACTTGGTTTCATTTTCACCCCTTCTTCCTCTCCCCTTGTTGTATTGAACTCACTTAGGGTGTCCAAACAAATAATTAGTTAATAAGATTTATATTGAATTCATGTATTTGTGCTGTATTTGTGATATTGAGCTAGTTGTATGTATAGAAATCAAAGGAAATGTCAGGCTTGATGAAGGTCTTTGTTCAGCCGCTTAAACGAGAAGGAATCCCTTACATTATTCTCATGTTCCTGGTACGTCAGAAGATGAGTTTGAAATCTTATTAATCTTTTCTCAATTATTGCTTATGAATGTAAACGTGTATAGATGCCTTCAATACTCGTGTACTAGAACTTGAATAACATGGGAAAATGGACCAAGCTGTATTGTTAATGAGTAGAATGTGCTAAATAGATTGAAAGCTCAGTAAGGAAGTGACAATGTTTTATGAGATTTAATACTTGAAGTTGAAGTTTTATTATTACTGTGAAACTTTGGTGAAAAATATTGATGCAAGTTAAAGAGAAACTATTGCTTGTTTTGCTTTAGTATGTGCCCTCTGCCTTTTATGTATACGTATATTAAGGAATGCGTAAGAAATTAATAAACATGATAAGTCTACATACCTCTCTGGGTTCAGCAAATTTTTGTCTTGCAGCTAATAGAATTTGATACCTTTTTCTTACTGCTTTTTTTTCTGATTTCATTTTCCATTGAATAGCCCTGTGTGTGTGTTTGTGTGTGTATGTGTGTGTGTGTGTGTGTGTGTGTGTGTGTGTGTGTGTGTGTGAAAGAATACTTCTTGACACCCTTTGCTTAGTAATAATGATCCCACTTTGTACCCAACCATTAACTTTGGCACCCGGTACTCAATATGTGAAATCTTTGGCATCTGTGGTGTAGTGGTTAGGTGCTCGTTGTTGCTCGGAGGAGACCTGAGTTCAATTCCAAAGTGGAGAGAATTTTTATCAAGTGTCTTGGTCTTTCTACTGGAATGATGCATCCCTCCCAGTCCAGGTTGGCTTTGACAGGCTGGGTTGGAAGTCCACCTCTTAAGTTATCTAAATTGTGTTGATGGGGGCTTAAAAACACCTACATTAAAAAACGTTCTTCAAGTCCTTCAACCATCTATGCAAAGTTTTACACATGCATCATCTTTTCCAACTTTCAAGCAGGCAACCGGCTGTTTTCCAATCATCTTTATAGAGCAAAGCTTCTCCCATTTTGAATCATGATTACAACTGAACAGATTGTACAAGTCTGTTGTTAATGAGTTCCACATACGCCTGCTGCTATAATTTTTGGGGCGGGGGGGGGGGGGGGGGCATTGTATAGTAATTATCTTCATTTCACTACTCGGCCATCTTGTATTCTTTCTTTCATAAAAATGAATTGTCTTCATTTTTCTCTCTACCCATTTTTATGTCACTCTCCCCCTTTCTCTCTCTCTCTCTCTCTCTCTCTCTCTCTCTTGTTCTCCCGCACTCTTGCTTCTTCTTTCCTTCCTCCCTCTCGCTAAACTAACACAAACACTCACGCACGCACGCACGCACACACATACACACCATCTCTCACTCTTTCTCTCTCTCTCAGTCTGTTTCTGTTTCTCTCTCTTTTTCTTTCTCTCTCTCATTCTCTCGACTCTCTCTCTCACACACTCTCTCCCTGACACACACACGACATGATACAATTACTGCACTCTCACACTCGCTATCTCTCCCACTCTTTTCCAAAAGCCCTCATCCCCTTCCAACTCTCTCTCTCTCTCTCTCTCTCTCTCTCTCTCTCTCTCTCTCTCTCTCTCTCTCTCTCTCTCACACACACACACACACACACACATACACTCTGTCTCTCTAGATTTATTCCTATCTATAAGTATCTATCTATATCTCTCTATCCCGCCACATACACACGCGTGCGCGCACACACATACACATTCAGTCACTCAACTACTCTGCTCCCTCAAATTATCACCCCTGTCTCTCTCTCTCTCTCTCTCTCTCTCTCTCTCTCTCTCTCTCTCTCTCTCTTTCTGAGATCCGACAAAATAACCTGCAGGTGAGTGTTAAATAATAGGATACATTATTATATTCAGTGTACATAACATTACGGTACTTGTGACTGAAAGGTAAGACAAACGCTGAGTCTACTTTTGAAAACAAGGTGCCTCACGTGTCTATGTTGCAGAGGTATGGGTTTACAGAATTGTAGCAAAATTTACTTTCGCACAAAACTTAGAATTTTACTCCAGTTCTGTAATGTAGGCTTTTTATTATTATTATACTAGATCTAGATCTATTATACCCTGCATATTATAAACATAGAAGAATGCGGTATCAGGCTCATCGTTAGTTTTGGCGTTTATTTTTTTCTTCGAACTCTGGATGGGAAATGAAAATAATCTGGGGGCAAGAGCCCGGAACACCCGGTGTTTCAAAAAAGACCACGGGGAAGCGACTGGAAATTTTTGGAAAACTGACTGACTGCTGGAAATGGGTTCTTCGGCCGTACACACAGTCTGAAGTTTGAATGATAAATACAAGAACTTGATGTTCATGTAACCTTGTCGAGACGAGTCGACATACACATGACAAAATGTCTTCGCCGATTGTTTACTGGTTTACATCAGAGGTATCGTATCTTGTCTGTTTGCTCTCCACATCCCAGTTGAATGAACGCGGCATTGACTCTACAACACCGGCTTGATGATTATTGCTGTTGTTAATCTGTGTTACTTGAGTTATAGATCTAGATTCTACTTTCTCTTTGTTACTTGAAAGTAGTTTAGTAGATCTAGAAATCTAGATCTAGAATCTAGATCTAGTTGTGCATTTGATTTATTCAACTTGTCAGGTTGGGAAAAGGGATGGGACGGGTAGACCGTAGAGTGCCTAATTCTTGAACTTTACCTTCTTCATTTTGTTTTGACAAGGCTTTTATTAAATTGGTAGCGTCAATTGCTTTGTCAATTGCTACCGAGTGAAGCGGTGTCAAGTCTGAAAATAACACTACCTTTTAGCATTATACATAATGTGTGTCTAAGGGTCAATTTGTTCTCAACTAATTTCATTGGACGAGCATCTGGTCTAGAGAGCTTCGGTACCAACTTGGCGTGTTTTCAATGAGAATGAGACGTAGGCCCAGATCTAGGCTAGCCTTAGCCTACACTTTGGTGTAGAAACAACACAGGCAATTCTAGAGGTAGAAGGTCACAAATGCACACAAACTCAAGCAGAAATTCACGTTATATCGGGGGGACGGGGTCAGGAAAAGACACACACACACACACACACACACACACAGAGGGACAGAGAGGCGAACGCACAACACCGAGCACTCTATCACGATAAGCTAGATCTACTCACCAACGCAAAAGAGCTCCAATTTACTCTGTGGCAATTGACAAAAACCAACCACTATTTATATATTATTAAAGATGAGGAGATGGAGGTGGTAAGCTCTTACAAGTGTCTTGTGGAATAACAATTGATAACAAACTTGACTGGCGTCCCCATGCTGCTCTTGTGCTTTAAAAAAAGTAAATCAAAGAATGTTTCTTTTTAAGGAAATTAAAAAGTTTTCGTGTCGATAATAAGATTAAATGTTCCTTTTATACCATTCTATGATTGAAAGCGTGTTATTATTTTGTGATTGCTGCTGGGAATTGTAAGGTTAAAGATTATATGAAAAATTCTACAGAACCATTAAGAAAACCAGCAAGATCTCTGGATATAATGTCTGAAACACAAGATCACACCCACTTTCTACGCAAATTGTCAGATCACGCAGTGGCAGATATGTACGGTCTCTAAATACAAAAAAAGAAAGATATATAAAGGTATTTTTTATCGTCTAGCATAAAAGGCTATTGTCAGAATAAGCATCATAGATGTGTATCGCTCTTTAGAGTATGTATGCATATATAACTCCAAAGGTTTTGTCGTTAACTTCCCGCATGTGGTTGAATGATGCATCTGGTGTGATATGTCTGCTTTACTTCTCTTTTCACACTGAATTTTAATGAGAGTAATATATAATTTAAATTTTTATGTATATCGGCATGTGTTTATACAGTCCTGTCTGTGCATCCAAGAAAAATTTCCCTCTGGGATAATAAAATGTTGTCTTATCTTATCTAGTCGTAGGAAGATTTAACAATAATTCAATTCAGCAGTTTAGCATAAATCATTTATACAATATTGTTGTAGGCCACTACTAGGATGGCAATCTTCCAGTTTCGAAGGTCAGACTCGTTGGATTAGAGTCTGCCCGAATTGGATTACTGAGATTTCCCTGATACATATATAAATAATTGGCTGGAATTCTTCTAGTTAAAAATTTTTTAATGTACAATTAAAACATTCACCAGGAATTATGTCCTCCAGTACTTTATTTTCAGACTTCTATTCACCACCCTGTTTAACAGTGTATTTTTTGTATTTAACAGCAGCAGCACTTTCGGAAGAGATGTTGTTGAGTGAAACTAAATAAACATAGCGAGCCCGCACGTAGTCACGGTAGAGACAGAAAATGTAAGGAATATATGTATATAAAAAGAGATGTTTTTTTATGAAATACTTGCCAGTCCATCTGGCATAGTAGGTCACAAATGGAGTAAATTTGAAGTACATCCGCGATCTGATAAAAAGTCAAAATATGTTTTTTCTTTCAGTGTAACGTAGTGTTGTTAATTCATAACGAATATATGTGAGACCCACAGAATTAGATCTAATTTAGGATCCAGAACAGTCTCTTGATAGGGCAACACTAAGATTAATTTAAAATATCGGGAACTGATGATTTTTTGACCAAAAAAAAATAATTTTCCAGGTCTATCCATGGCGCACAACAGCAGCAACTTGTTGGGCCATGTTGTCCGTACCTGTCTTCTCCATTGCATTTGTGCTACTCACCGGAATCTCCTTTTCACACCCAGTCCAGTGGATCAGTGGTATGTGCTACTTACTTTTGCCCATCGTGTTTAATTTTCTAAGCCAACATGTTGAAATCGTTATTATTATTATTCTGAGTTAACAGTAATACCTACCATATCTTAATCAAGGTACAATGCAATCAGACATCAGAAAGACTAAATGCTGAACTGATGCTTGATTCTTTATTTTTGTCTTCAAGGTACCAAGAGTAATTGCAGGGTGCCATTGTTACTTTAAAGTCTTGCCTGTTTTCTTATTTACTACAGTTTCTGTCTGTCTTTCTTGTTTTTTTACCGTGCTATGAATGATCGTCTCTTTACTCAAACAAACCAGTAAAACTTACGTTACACATATTATGTGATATATTAGTTACAAATTAGAATGAAATTTGCTCAAGAAATAGTGGACTGGAGTGATTTGATGTTTTTCTTGAGTTTGAGTTGATCATGTTTTTCTTATTTGTGCCCATACTCCAACATACTGTGACTTATATCCAAATTTGATTTATAGACTTTACACATCTCTGATTCCAATGAAACTTTGATAAACTTGTACACTTGCAGTCTGTATTAAGCGTTACTAAACATATTATTAAGTGTGAGAATAGATTACATTAAAAAATGAAGATGTGGAGGAAGAGGGCAACTCTATGTTTTAATTTGTCATCACCTGAAGATATTTTCTTAAATATTAAAAAAATGGCATATAATATTATTTTTGCCTTCTCCATCTTTATTAAAAATATCCTACAATTATAGGCCTATTAAATAAATTTATGTATAATATGAGCTAATTAGTTTTTCTGTTTTTATTCTGTTCACAGACACTGCTGGAGTCATGATATCTTCTCAGTTTTTCACCTCAGTTCTCGTGTTTGCTTTACTTCTGGCATTGGTCACTCGTTTTTCCTTTTCTCATTATTCAGGTAATCCTCTTCTTTTTGTCATCATTTTTTTTACTGTACAACACGTTGTCTACTGGTAGTCCAGATGAGATCATTTTGCTGCCAGTGCAGTGAAAAACAAATCTAGAAACAGATGATGCTTATGAACACCTTTATACCACTTATTTGAATTAAATTGATACCATATATGAATATGCTTCTATTGTTTCGTGTACTTTGTAAAAATTTTCAGCTTTCAGTGAAGTACATTAGTCTTAAGATTTTGTGAAACACTGTGGTATTGATTAATATGAAAAATTACCCTGTGCTGGCAGTTGAGTAGTATATGAATGCTTTTAGCTCATGAAAGACATGAAATATGTCAGAACGAAACCAACTCAGTTTTGATGTTATTTTCTCTTTTTGCAACTACAGTGATTGCTGACATTGAAAAGACACGGCTGAACTCTGTATTGAGTCTCTTCCGCTGGTCTCGCCTCCCTCTCCTGGTGGTCTCGTTTGTGACTGGGGCTGTGTCTTCCTGGAGTCTTCTCAGGCTGATGGGCTCAGACATGGGGTCATTGACATATGAATTGGATAGCAAAGAGTTGTGAGTAAAGCCTTTTGTACGTATATATTTATTTTTTTCAGGATGTTGAAGGGGTGTTCATGAGGCTGAAGATGCCGTTGCAAAATAACCTATATTGAAAATGTTCGTTTAATTTTTTTTGTTTTCACTGAGTCGTGGCAAAAATAAGGTTCATGCCAGTTTCTATTATTATCTTCAAACATGTTCTTCCTGTACGACATTAGCTTGAAACCTTTGATAATAAAAACATATTTTAGAGTACCATGCGGGTATTGGCTTTGTGATTTTAAGCAATAGATCTAAGTGGTAGATGATCAATTGTCATAACTTTTAATGGGTCCATCTTATATATAGATCTATCTTGTCTCGTCCACAGCAGGAAAGTTATGTTGAATGAGAGACACTTGTTCCTGGTGGAGGCAGGGGTCTTCTTCAGTCTTTGTCACTTTGTCCGGTTTTTCTGGCAGAAGCAGAATTATCTGTCCTTTCCCCACATTCAGGTAAGGCTGCTTCATCTTAGATAGATGTTTATTCCCAGTTACTTGGAAGTAATCAACCTTCAAAATTATGATTTTTGTGTGTTTTGTAAGAGTAGAACAGCAACAGGAAAAATTAAAACACTGTAATGACAGTAGTGTAATACACAGAAAATTTAGATTTTTATACATTGATCATGATTTATCGAGATCATTTTTTTTCCCCGCAGAGGCAAAAATTTTTCCTCATTCGACGTGAAGCCAGCAGAATCCTGCATTCAAATGCTGGCCTGTCTGTTAAGAATACTCTCTGCTTTTATGCTGTCTACTTCTTGTTTGGTAAGTTATTAGGCAAAACTTCATTCATTAGTCATTGATTGCTAAGTGGAGTTAGAGCAGGGTTTTGTTTATAATGGCAACTTAAATGAGCTAAGAAAGTAATGTTACTTAATTGCTGTGTGATCAGGATGATTTGTTGTTTTTTAAAGTTTACTTCTATATAATAAAATTTTAACAGGCAGGAATAATTCTAGGATGTGCCCAATGACTTCTGTGAGATTTACAGGTTGTAATTATGAAGATATAGCTGTTCAGTGTAGAACATGCCTAGCGATTGAAAGAGGTGAAATGAAAGTTGTTTATTTGATTTTTGTTTTGTATAATTTGTTGTGTTATGTTAACTTTAAACTGAATAAACAGTTCTTCAAAAGTTAAAAGTAGGCAAAGTACTCTGTGTTAACAGTCTAGCTGAGTTGGGTTTGTACTGTTTAGTCATTTAAAGTAGATATGCTCTTCTGTCTCTCAAAATGACAACAGAGCCATTAGCACTCAAACAATCTCAATTTCGAGTCAGAATTAATTTATTAACTACTATCCGTACACCCTGGGTCTTTCTGTTCCCCCGGGGTTGTATTCTTCACATTTTAAAATACTTCTAGTGCGAAGGTCTCTTTGAAGCTTTCAGTATTTCTCAAAAAATCATTTTGACAGACTGTCATGCAAAGCGTACGGATCAGATAAACGAGTAAATTTCCTCTTTGGAAAGTGGTGGCACAGAGTTCCCCACGTCGTATGGATACAATGGTAAAACACAATGTACAGATAGGGTTAATATTGGTACTCGTTACCTTTGCATTTTAAAGGTATGCCTGAATCTGCTTTGAAAATGCTTGACTTAATAATTTTAGGAGAGAGACATTTCAGTTTTATCAAAATATCTTCATGTTTTCAGCATTTTAAATGTGTACTTAAAAAAAAAGAATACAGACACATTCACTTAAAAATTTAGAAATTTTGTTATTAACTGTAATATATTAATTTCCGGAACACTAGATTTTTCATAATTTGTTTCAGGTGGTGGTCCTAAATTGTGGATAAAGAGTTCTTTCAACATGAATGAAGAGTAAGAAAAGAAAAGTTGCTTTAATGTTTTTACTAAGTAATGATCTTTCTTTTAAGTATGATCATCTAGGGCAGATTTTTTAGTCGCTTTCTATGTTCGTCCTCTCAAAAAGTACCATGTCAGAAGTTTGATGGCATTTTGACATTTGTCCTCGTTTACTCCTGAATTAGCTCTCAGATTTAATTTATATTTATGGAAGGACTATTTTTATGTAACAATTTATATGCAGTGTATGTTTAAGAGTTGGAAAAAAGATTAAATTTATACGTACCATATACATTTTTTTCCCCCCAAAGAGCCCTGCTGCAGCCATATGCTAACCGTTATTTTTGTTTTTTAAATTTCTTTATGACAATAGCCATGAGGATAAAAAAAAGTTTTTAAAAATTAATTAAAAATAACCCAGTTCTATATTTCACCAGAAATGTATGGTAATTTATGTAATTTGAATTCTATATTTTTTCAGAACACTGGTGTTTTTCTAAAGAAAATCATTGAGAATAAATTAGAATTTGGGCAGAACGTAAGAAAGTAAAGATTTATATAACAGTCAGTTGGTTCATTTATGTAAGGTGGTTCATGTGCACCACATCTTTTGATCACTTCAGGGATAATTCAATGTAAAATCAAAGGGACATATCTTTGAAAAGTGCATGTTTAGTTTAAAGCTAATGAACTTGAATATTTTATTCTGAATAAAGCGATCATTCTAAATGTAAATTATTTTATTGCTCTTTCTCAGTTCCAGCAAATCTGATTTGACAAGTGTGTTAGGCTTGCTGGACATCAGCTTGTTTTGGCAAACATATGTTTTGTCTTTGATTCTGACGACAGCGTGGACACTCGCGACCTCATTACTTAGAGTGTTCCACACTCAGGTTGGTCTCTTGTTGTTGTACGTGCTTTGGTGTTCTTTTTGTAAGATACAAGACTACTTGCAGAATACTACTACCATGTCTGTCTGTCCATCTCTGTCTGTCTGTCTGTCTGTCTGTCTCTCTCTCTCTCTCTCTCTCTCTCTCTCTCTCTCTCTCTCTCTCTCTCTCACACACACACACACACACAAACACACACACACACACACACACACTCTGTATGTTGATGGGGAAGGCTCTAGTGCTGTCTGCTCTTTCCATTTTCACAAAAATATTTCTTATTGTCTCTTTCTGTGTCCTGATGAAATGTGGCCGTTATTGAGCTGAGCTGTCATTCACTGGAACTTAATAATTTTCTCTCTTGTTTATGCGGAGAGTTTCACATCTCACTGCACCTTTTTTTTCGAAATTAGAGCTAGATACTATAATAGTTTGATTAGAACTCCACATTTCATAAGACATGTGATTAGAGGTCACCATTGATAAGTTTTACTTCTGCTCCATTCCTCTGTTTTGTCTTTTTGCCCATTTTGCTATTTTTCCTCAGCGCTAAATAGCTATTGACATATCAGTGTAGCTGGTTTTTACTCAAACTAGACAGAACACCTCAAATGAATTTTGACTATGTTGAAACTTGACCTCAAGATTTGTTTCTAGTAAAGAAGCTCTTTATGAAACTTGTTGGTTATAATGAGTTTTGATTGCTTTTTGGGATGTACTCCTATATTTAAGCTATTTCAATTAGTCTGAAAGGGGTCATGATCATATCATCTCTATCAACACACAATATGAAAAGTTCGCAGGTCTTTGCGTATGTATCTTTCTTGATTTGACAAGAAATCCTTGAAAATGAAAGTCAGCTTTTTCTCCTGTTTGACAGCTCTTGCAGTTTGACATCCAGAGTGCAATGGAAGCCAAACAGGACAGAGGACTGGGTGATGCCATGGCGACCTCAGAACCCCAGCTTCTCCAGGTGAGTTTCATGCCCAATGCACTGTTAAATTGATGGACTGAACTCATCATTATATCTCTCCTGCTGCCCCTCACCCCCATGCACTGAGCACTACATTGCCAATATCTGTCCATGAGATGCAGAGCTAAGAAGAAAAGTCTTTGCCTTTCAAAAGAAGCTCTGAAATGGGCAAAGTAAGAGCAGTGTGTGTGTAGACGAGGGTGTAGTCTGTCAACTTTCAACTGTTTTGTTTGCAGAAACAATACATGATTGCTATTGATTTGTTTCAACATATTCAATTTAACAACTTTGTCATCATTATTGATTTTAACTTATAACAATGAAAAAAGGAAAATGCATTACAGTATTTTCTATTTTGATGTCTTATTTTTGCTGAAATGATGAGGTAATCTTTCTGCACTTGCATAGAAGGCCATATTAATGCTGAAAATGAATCGGTATTGGTTTGGAAAATGTAGTGACTAGGTATTCAGATATCACAAGCCTATGGAAAAAAAGATTTTCACTGCTCTTTTTTAATTCCAGAATGGTGTTTGGTTTTTCCCTGTTTCGACTGTTTTGTATCTTAAGACAATCACATTTTTTTAACCGTCAAGAGATTTTTTTATATTTTTGCATAAACTTTGTTTTTCACAAGGGAGTATGAGGCTTCTTGTATTTGCTCTCCCTTTCGTTATGTTGAAGCTTATGAGTTTATGAGTGTTTCAAATTTTGCATTATATTAAAAAAACATGCTATCAGCCTCCTACATAAAATCAAAATCTTTTGTTCCAGCATTTGGCCTTTTATGATTTCTGTTTGCTGTCTCGGCACTCGAAGCAGCGCAGACAAGAATTGTTCAGCTTAAGTCAACCGGGTGGTCACCCCCGGGTGTGGATGGCCGTCAGCCGTACTGCACTGCACATAGCCAGAGAGCTGACCCTGAAAATACAGGATGCCAATCGCTTGATAATGTCACGGGTGGCTGTGGCGGGCCAGAACCAGATGGCTAATGAAGGTACAGTGGGGATTGCATAAACCGAACATTGTTAATCCGAAAAGTGTGGTAAGCTGAAAGAAAATTAAATCCCCAGTTTATTTCTTTTCATCCATTTGGACATCCTCTCTAAACCAAAAACCCAATTAAACTGAAGAAAATCCACCAGTCTCGCAGGTTTCATTTTAAGTTTTAAGTGGACTGAACTGTATTTTGTTCTGAAAGGGTCTCTCTTGTGTCTTAAAATTTACCCAGTGTCTTCTCAAAGTTGAGGTAATCAGTTAGTTTGGTGCGTACTGCTGTCCCAGTTCATTGCTTGAAAGTTATTTCATTTTTCTTCTTGAACTGGCTTAGTGTATGACCAAAGATTGCAGTAACAGTTATGACCATCTCTCCTATTATTCCCACTTTTACGAGTAGTTTTTTTTGTCCATGGACAGTTGGTTTTGATTGTTGTTACCTTGAGTCTGGCAGTGCAGCCAGTCAAGAAATTGTGTGTTTTACCATCAAGAATTCAATTAACCTAACTTATTTCTGTGCGTGTGAACTCCTGTCTGCAACGACTATAGTTTATGAGATTTCATTTTTAATTTACTATAACATGATTTTCGGAATAAAATAATGGAAATGTTCTGTTGCTAAAATCTAGTTGTTGAATTGTGAACTATGTACATTCAACTTGATACTTAGTACGCTCTAGTATTGAAACTAATTTTTTTTTTCATGAATATTTTCTCTTTGCAGAAGTCTCAAAAAGTCCCTTTCTGTTTTCTTCCAATTTGGACTCAGACGGGGCCAACAGCAAAGGTACTGCACAATTATTGAAATATATAAAGATTGATTTAGGCTTTTTTGTAGTTATTTGGCAATTTTGCAGACATCATTGAGTATAAGTTTCCTATTGTTGCTACCTTTGTGGTTAAACTTGTATGTATAGTCTTGTTTTCCACCCAAACAAAGGCTCACATGGCTTCACAGTGACTCCTTTGGAAAACCTTTTTTCCATTGGAGGGCTGTGTGTATCTTGAGGATGAGCTAAATTTGACTTGAGTGTGTGTGTGTGTGGGGAGTGGGAGGAGGGGGGGGGGATTGTTCATTCAGTAAGGGGCACTCTGTCTACTTTATTCGTCACTGTCATGGGTAGCAACCCAAAGCAAATTATTGTCCTCTGTCTTGTCTCTTGAGTTTGAGCAGGAAGGGCATTAGTCAGGTATTTTTTAAAATGCAAAATGAGTCTGAGGAAAAACTTTAAACCTAGTAAATCAAATACTTGATGAAGTGAGTTAGTAGGCCTAGTTGATATTGTGAACAAATATTTGATGTAGCCAGTAGACAATGGACCCATTTGGTTCTGTTGTAGAGGGAAAAAAATCAGTGGAAAATGTAGCAAGAAAGATTGGCTGTGTTATCTACAAATAACGTGCTTTTTTTTTCTTCTTTTTCATCTTTTTTTCCTAAGGAGACCCCTCCAATAATAATCAAACAGAAGCACAAGCAAGCCATTCTCTCTCAAAGGTAAGTAATGGTCACTACTGTGTGTGTGTGTGTTTGGAGCTTGAACTGGGGATTCTGAAGAAGTCCAAAGGAACTGAAGAGCTTTTTCAAGTCTATTGGGTTCTTATAAATTAGAATAACTGCTTTCTAGTTGATACAAAATGCTCTCCTGACCCTGAAAGTCTTATGGGTTCAGTGTAATTGTGGCTGCTAAAAGACGGTAGTTCCTGAAAGATGCTTTGGGGTCAAGCAAGGGTGTTGTGTCAAAGTTCAACGGCAGTCTAGAGGTAATGAGATGTTTTATGTCCTGTTTCAGCGCATATCGGTTTTATCTAAAAGATTATTCCGGTGTTTAAAAAAATTTGAAGAAGTTACGTTGATGAAAAATATTTATGCGGCATCGTGGTGAAATCGGGCACTCGTCAAAATAATGAAATCGGAGAAACTGACATTTTTCTGTCCATTTGGCAATTTTTATCGAATTTTTGTTTTTTGACTCGACTCCCCTAAGATCCATGTAAAAACACATTTCTGTGTGGATTTTATTTAAAAATGTTGATTTAAGGCACAAAAAATGTAAATTTGCAGTTTTTAAGGACTCTCAAGCTTTGGAAGTCACCAAACTTTGGCAGCCACTTTCTCGCTAATTTTACCTCTGAAACCAGGTGACCCCCACCTCCTTCAATCGCAAATATCTCGACTTCTGTTCATGATATATGAGTTTTTTTTTTTCACCGAAAGCAAGGCAAATGAACAAGCTTTAAAATGATACCAATATCTCAACATGTCTAAAAATTGACAAGCGCCTGATTCTACCGTGTTGTGACACATAATTTATGTTTTCTTCTTTTTTTAGATCCTTTTAACAGACATCCCAAGATTTTATGAATTATAATTTTAACAATTCCAAACAGTGTCATATAATTTAATGTATGAGTTTCTACTTTGTTTGACCTATTCATAGTTGAAATATATAATTAAACTATGTTAAATATGTAGCCTTGTGAGAAAACTTGTCTTTGTAGTTAAACTTTGTGTTCCAGTTTCTTTACTTTGAAAAATGATGCTCAACCTTCTGCTTCATTGTCATCTTCTTGCAAGAGTTCCTGCCTGAAATTTTGCATTTCCAAAATGCGTGAATACAGAGACTAGATGATAATCCATAGCTTTTATATAGCGCAAATTCCCGTCAGCAAACTTTTATGCGCTTTACAATCTATATTATTACCCCAGCAGACCTGATAGCATTCTGAAGCAATCTCAGTTTCCTGGGAAGCTGACAGTTCACTTTGTTGGTCTTATGTCAATCTTGTCTCAGAACTTCACCATGCATCTCGTGACAGGTCTTCTCACAATGCCGCACTGCGCATATTGATAAGGGAAAGTTGATCATCAGCCATGGCTTTGGTTTTGTAGTCTTTCCAAAATACTCTTCTCTCACAGATCAAAGCCACATTGTCGAGTCTACCTTTCATCACACAACTCACTGCAGAAAACCCAGACACTGACAGCAGATGTCTCTTTGCATCCTGTCAAATGCACATGTGGGCTGTGGAAGGTAAGTTCTATTCTAGTAAAAGTTTTTTGTTTTTTTTTTAGTTTTGTGCAGAACACACTATTATTTGGTTTTGCCATGTATTTCAACTCATGAAAAATGAGATAAAAGTCTCAACTACCAATATACTGTCAAAACCTGCTCTAATGACCACTTGTCCAAGACAAAATCACCTGTACAATCAACCACTTCCCACTCCCCCCCCAATACTTCTTTTAAAAATGTAATGACATTGTCCCAGAGGACTACCTGTCTATGATGACCACTTTTCTCCTTGACAATGGGTGGTTGTCTTTGACAAGTTTGACAGTATATATAATTTGACTTCTTTTATCTAGTCAAACACTCATCACCAAGTTTAATAGAACTGAAATTCATTTCACAATTTGAATTGATTTGAATGGTATCTTACCCCCCATCTTTTCCTCATATACCCCCAGCCACCTTGTACAATAGTGTAATACTAGGTTTATTAATAAGTTTGCTGTCATGGAAAGCATTAATACAGAAGGCTGTGAAACTTGCCTGATTCATTCCTGTTTTGTTCTTGAATAAAATTACGATTTATTTTAGGTAACTGTTTATATGAAGGTCAATACATCATGGTATGTATAACAACAAAACATACATGATAGATTTTGACTGACACGTTTGATGACTAGAGATCCAGAATTGTGCCTGGGACTATCAATCTGTCTGTCTGTCTGTCTACATTGACAAATAGGGACAATTTGTTGTCGTAATGTGGTTTTGGGGTTGCTTTTTTCTCATTGAAAATTGATTTATCATGTCTACTATTTCTATTTTGTCTCCAGGATTGTCCCAAGTTGCATCATGGTCCTTCACTGAGGACAAGTATGGGGTGGTTCAGGGTTTTCTCCCAACTCTCATATATACTTTGGTGGATTTGAATGAAGTGAGCGAATTAAAATCATCTGTTGTTAATTTTGTGTCATAAGAAATTGAAAATAGAAAACTTTTTCCAGTTTTTATATTTGTTGTACCATTAGTTTACCTCTTCTTTTATACTTTCATGGATTTGAATGAAGCAAACACATTAAAATCATCTGTTGTTAATTTTGTGTCATAGAAGGCAGAAAATAGCCTAGCAGACTCGGGAAGCGGCACGCACACTGCCTGTGGCCATGCCGCTGGGTTTATGGGGAGTTCACCAGGTCACGATTGTGTCAGGCTGTCAATATAGTCTATGGCTCGTTTTTCGTAAAGTCAAATATTTTAAGTGACTAGGCCCTTGTCAAAGGCCAGAGGTCAAGGGTGAGGTTGAAAATGAAAACAAATCAAAAGGCTATCGCATCGCACTAGGATTTCGCAAGTCACAACGGCAAAAGTTATTTGAAGTGAACAAAGTTAAACAGCATTGTGCGCTTCAGTCATTTTTACGTAGAAATCTAGAGATCTAGATCTAGATATTTAAACCGGGTATTTTATCAAAAAATACAAATGTGAAAATACAAGTAACAAGTAATTATTGACAATTGTGATTTCAAACTGTGGTGATTTTTTTTAGCTTCTAAACGTGCTCGGTTGGTACTGATCATTTCATTACTGCATCACCTCTTAATTCTTCTATAATCATTTATATTACGCAGGCTATAGAGAAGCATTTCAAATGCACCAGTGTGGTTCGAAGATCTCATGCAGCCTCGGAGGACGTGCCAGATGCCTCCTTACCTCACAGGTTACACTCTGTGACCCGCACCGCCATATACCGCGTGGTCAACACCTACAGACAACACTTACAGTAAGCGTTTTAGTCTTTTGTTCTCTGGTCTCATTTCACGTAAATCTATATGACTGCTCCAGAAGAATTCACTGCCTTTTGGACATGTTCTTTTTCCAGACTTGGTCTTTTTTGGATTCACACATATGTACCAGCATCATGGTGTGATCGTTATGCTCTTTGTTGTGGCACGCAGAAGACATGTGTTTTTGATTCTCATGGGGCAGTCTTGTCGAGTATCCTCATCTGTCTGCTGGGATGTTGTATCCTTTCAGAGCAAGTTGGCTCTAGCAGGCATGTCTGAAGCAGCCCATCTCGTTAACAATCTTCTAACATACATCGATAGGCACGCGGCGAAATAAATTTACAATAAGCTAAATTTTCAATAAGGTCACAGCAATTTGCTGAGATCTGATTAGGAATGACAAAGATGGAAAAGAAATAAGACCAGTCTGTCATGTCCTTGGGCAGCCTATGCCTATATATTCATAAATCATATATTAGAACATTTTCTTCAAAAATATTGTATTATCATTGACAACGATGTTGCACTAAAAAAAATATTATGTCCCTTTGTCTTTGTTTGGTACCAGCCTTGCACTCTCAGACATGTTAGTTTTGGTTAATTCTTTGCCCTGACTGGAAGCTAGGGGGAAATGAGAAGAACTGTGTAGAAATATATATATTATATATATATATATATTTGTATGAAGCTCTCAGCAAATGGAAACAGAGGATCCTTTATATCAATTAATATTGCATTCTTATGAGTCAAGTTCTTTGGTTAGATCAGATAATGACATCTTGAGGAAAAGGGCCCAAGCCCAATGCCTTTGTGGTTAGCAACATTTGTTTGAAACACAAGAGGAGAATAATTTTGTGTTGTTTCCTTCTTGTATTTGTTGCACATGAGGAATGTGCTGAGATGCTTTCTCTTCTCTTTTCTTTTGTTGTTTCTTTTTTTGTTTTTTTAAAGTGATGACAGACATTTTATTAGGCCTGTGGTTGTATTGTTTTCAGCATAGAAATTTTTTAAAAATCTTTCAGGTATTGGAAAGAAGATAATGTCCCCCTGTCTATTGTATTATTTATCTCTCCCCCCTCCTTCACTGTTTTACTGAAAATCTCTTTCTTTGTGTGTACAAGTAAACACAAATCATTGTCTGATATATTTAATTTTTTTAACCAGTGATCTACACTTGAGTCCTGAGTACTTCAAGAAGGTACAGATGTTCAGCGACTTTCTGTTATAACTTTTGAACTGAGCTTTTCATCCTGGGGTGCTAGCCGCGGAGGAGTTGCCCTGATGTCATGTGGAGTGCAATCGACTGTGCAGTGGCAAGAAAAGTGATGCAGAAAGCAAGAAGGAATGTTCTAATCTAAATGTGTTCAAATGATGCTAAGGGGACACAGAAAAAAAAATGTAATTCCTTGGAAATTGCCTTGTATATTATGTTTTCCATCTGCTTTCCAGTGTAAAGGAAGTTTCAGCAAAACATCAATATGTCTAAATATCGCTTTAAAAAATTCATATTGAAAGTTCTCTGCTTGATATTTGGATTGCTTCCTTGCCTTCCTACTGACGCGTAATTATTTTGTTTCAGGGGATTTGCGAAACTTATTTGCCTTGGTGAAAACCTTTCTGCCATGGTTGTGTGTCTGTTTGAAGTTTTTCTGTTTGTGAGTGTAAATAACTTTTTGTTGAACTGATAAGATGAACGGGTACTTGTTGTCTGAATGGATGCTAGGATACAATGTGTTGTCTTATGATGTCACTATTGCTTTGCATTTTTTTGCGTTTTGTATTTCAGTTTCATGAGCTGTACAATAAAAAAAAAAAAAAAAAAGAAATTGACAATAAATGTCCAGCCTTTCGTGTGTGTAATGTATATATATTTATGGTTGTGTTGATAATCATTTATCTTTTTTATAAGTATACGATTATTCAAATTAAGGTGCCATATTTCACATGGGAATATTACAAATGCTTCAGCTGTATAAATTCTTTTTAGCGGGTGCTTGGTGTGGTTTGCTCCGTCTTTCCTATCAAACATCTGTCATCCTTTTCTACCCTCCTTCTATTTTGTATTTCCTCCAGTCTTGGAGAGCCACTGGAAAAAACAGACGGGTAGCAAACTCCACAATATTAAACCCAAACTGGGACCGCGAAATCCTTCAGACCTCTCCAGAATAGACGAAGTCATTTTTACTCGATTACGCGTCGGACACACGGCCCTAACAGACAAATACCTCCTTCAGGGAGATGAGAAGCTGTTCTGTGTGGGAAGTAACACATATTTTACCATTAGACACATTTTAACCGAATGTCTAGACTTCGGAGAGACCCGAAGGAAATAGGCCTACTTTAAAAGCACAAAATAACAAGATATTTTTTCTGTCGTTGTTCCCAACAGAATTTTAGATTTTATAAAGGCCATTGGCCTTTATGGAAAGTTATAAAAAAGATTGTTCGAAAATTTTAAAGTGTTATTTAGAAAGTTGTTTTAAATTTAAATTTAAATATAAAGCCTATTTACACTCAATTTTTAGCGTATTAAAATTTTTAAAATAGAAATATTGACCAGTATCAAGCCGAGAAAATGAACTGTTGAGAAAAAAACAACTTACTTTGTGCGCTCATATGCCCTTATGCAGTTGCGAGCGCCGTAAAACCCCATTCTAAACTAAAACTTCTATTTTGTGTTTGTTACTCTCTTGTACCACCTCTAGTCTTCGGTACTTATATGACCTTATTGTGTTACAAGTGCTGTTAAACTCTTACTAAAACTAATATTCTGTTTATAATTCCTTTGAATTCCCTTTGAGACTTTCCTTTGGTAAAACAGGCGAAACACATAGGCCTACATTGTTGTAGCAGTACGATTCCTTTGGTTTTAGTAGAGGTTTTACGGCGCTCGCAACCGCATAAGGCCATATGAGCGCCAGAAGATTAGAGGTGTTACAAGAGAGTAACAAACATAAAAAAGAAGGAGGGGAGATAAGGACCATAGATGTTTGATAGGAAAGAAAAAGCAAACCACATCAGAGCACCCGCCAACCACCCACACGATTCCTTAGTAATGTTGGAAGTAATGTTGGAAGTTACAAACATGCCTCTAAATACTCCCAAAAGAAGAAGCCATTTAGAGAATGAGAAAAGAGCAGAGGGAGGAAAGACGAATGATGCGATTAGAGACTGAGAATGAAACTTGCTGAGGGTGAGGATGAGAAAGTTAGGACTGAAAAGTCAAGACATACCTCGTCATTGTCAAACAATAAATGTATAAATGTGAAACGTAGGCTCCTTTAGCACTTGTATCCCCTCATCCCCCTTTTTCCCCTTCTGTGTGTCTCTTTCTATATCCACCTACTTTCTGTCTGCTTAACCTGGCAAAGACTCTACTGTTTTCATTCTTTGCTGACCAGCCCTTGATGTTGTTGGCAGAATTTCTGTATGTGAATTTTTGGAAATGAGCACAATCGAAGAATGGAGAAAGGTTTGGTGGACATTGTGCCTGTTTGAATTTTTTTTTGTTTACACCTTTTTCAGCACAGTAAATACTGTACAGTGTAAGACTGGCTGAGTCCTTGAATTATCATCTGTACTTGCTTTACTGATGGAGACTGAGAAAACTCCTCAACAAGCGCAATATCAAAGAGAAATCACTTTTTTTTTTCATGGATTCAAATCATGGCAACAAAAATTATTTAAGTTTACATGACTTAGAATAACGTTCACTGGAATAAATCCGTGGTACCTCATAAAGATGTGATGATAATAGTTTGTCTGAAAAGATTGTAGAAATAACAGATTATGTTTTCTTCCTGTAGTTACTTACAATGGCAAAGAAGTGAAAAAGATAGTAGTAGTAGTACATGTAGTAAAAGAGGAAAGTAGAGTCTTTTTATGTTATTATTATGTCTACACTGTTACTTGATAATGAAATGCACCCCTGCAAGATAATAATAAAAATTAAGATAACAGTTAATTCATCTTCACTAAGAGAAATTTGCAGCAACATAGTATAGTAAATACAATACACATTCACACTTGTCAGC